ATACGATTTTCTGTGAGAAGGAGCGCGCGCGCGCGCGCGTACGCGCCAGTAGATGCTTTTTCCGAATCCACCCGTTCGGCAGGATGACCGAGTGGCGACTGAAACTCACCCTGCGTGATGCCGTGGCGGCGCTGACTACCCCCGAAACAAGGAAACACCATATCCCCCACTCGTGACAGGGCGCCGCGTCGCGTCGCGTCGCGACGCGCAACCCCTCTTGTCTCGACTCTCGCCCGTTTTCTTTAGCTCTAACCCGCCGCAACGCGTCTCTCCTTTGGCTGACGCTAGAAAACGGGCCCGATTACCGCCAAGTCCAATTGCACTGCTCGATACTGTCATCCGATGACAAACCAATCTACAATACCAGATAGGCGCGAGCAATTTCCACGCCCGATGTAACCCTTTCACTGCCAAGGGGATGCACGTGACCCGCTGACACATAAACGCGCGACACGAAACTCTCTAATATACGCAAGCTCGATTCGGTGAAGGGTAAACTTGTCATTAGCCATCAACCAAACATTTTTTTTCAATGCCATACATAAAGAGTATCAACAATTTTTCTTTGCAATATGTGCTTTAATTTTTTTTCTGCTGGTTTTCACCAAAAAATTCCGCGAAACGTATAAATGACAAGACTGGGCTGAATAAAGCTGATTCACGCAATATCGCCTTTTCACTCTCAAACCCACTTTTTAATTCGTCTAAATATTATTTAGTTAATTCAAATTAATGTTATTGTCACCAGTAACTAATCCAGTTCTACTAATAACTCGTTCTAATAATAATTAAATCAAAATAAAACATTTATTACAAATTCTTTGGAAATAAAAATGTATAGCTGGGGATCTCTGGTTTTTCGAATCTTTAATGTGTATAATCAGATATAAATTTCGTAAAAGTATTTATATATTTAACAACACATTTTTATAATAGAAAATTGTAATGAACAATAAAAAGCAAAAGTTAGTATTACATTTTAGCAATAATAGTGATAAAGCAATTGTATTTGCAAATATGTATTTTACAAAATTATTAAAAAAAACACTGCTACTAGTGAAAATAACATTAACCAAGTTAAGTATAGAGAAAGCATGCGAGGCAAATGCAATATTCGCTTTCATTAGAAATGCCTCTGGAAAAAATGAGTATTGTTTTCGAAGTCAACTATCTTTTTGAATGGATTCAAAGAGCACAAACAAAAGGCAAATAAAGAACAAAGTTACATTAAAATTCTGTTACGTTACGACAAGTTTAAACAACATTCTGAAATTTCGTCCCGAAACGAAAGCTTTCTCAAAATAATCTACATTCTCTACGCTCTATTTTCTAGTGTTCTAACATTAAATCGTGCAACTTATATTCACTTGCTCAAAATTCACGCGCACACACAAAATCTGCATAATTCTTTTGGCAATCGCTACATTTTCGTGACAATAAAAAATTATGATGATTGAAATAAGCTGCATTGTCATAAGTTGCATCTGCAGCATTGGATTTTATTCATTAAATTTTAATTTCTTGATCACATATTATTATATATGTGTGCCAATATTTTTTCTATTTACCTAACTATGCTGTATATTAATTTCTTAGCAATTTATCGTCTACTGAACTATGAAAGTAGAAATTAAAATAATTTAGGAAACTGTAGATACCATAATAATGTCTTTGCGATACGAAGAAAAACTTGCGTGTTAGATAGAGAGGCACCGGTTCTCAATGGGGACAAAAGGGTCACGATCGAAGGCATCGAAGGGAGGGCGCCACCTCGCCGCCAACCCATTTTCTTCGGCCCCTTGCTGCGATTTGGTTTCTAGCAATAGTTCTCATGCCAATATTTATTTGCTTTACACAAAAATGTGCTAGACGATACAAATTTTAATTCAACGACAGGATATTGAAATTTTTATATAATGTAACGTATTTAAATAATTAATACATTGAACACTTATTGTTAGCCGAATGAAATAACACAATTTCAATTGTTTTATTTAATCTCTAATACTTCTTTCCCTTTTTCGATAAATCATGTGGAATGCAAAATTTAACATCATACGCTATAAATTTTCTTACTTAAACGATTTATTCCTTGTTAAATTTGTGTTGATAATTCAAACACGGTATAATTAAGTTTATTGAGAACCAGATTGCTATATCACTCTTTTGATACAAGAAAAAGATTTCAAGTACCGGACAATTCTTAAAGATTGTATAAATGAATACCAAATGTAAGATTTCTCGATTACTATTTTTGGTAAAATTTTTATATTTAGTATTTGAAAAAACAGTTAACTCTACATCGCAACAAATTCTTGAATGCTCTTGTTACATTTCTCTACATATTTTGTATATCATTGTTAAAAATATTTAACATAATTTAATTTCACTGAATCTTTGACTGACTACTTATTGCGACGTAATAAATGAAAAAACTTCACTCTAACGAGATAAGCGATTATAACTGCCCGCACGTTATCGCACGCAAGTTGAACTTTGACATTTTTATAGACCTGTATACGTATACATTCATCATTCATATCTACTTCTTGAAAAGGCTATTGTTTCATTAATGAAGTATATTTGAAACGTAAATATCATATTTTCTTTCACTGATATCCGGCGATATAAAGAAAACATGGATACTTTTCCAGCTACTTGGGCAACAATTATTATATTGCTCGTTTTAATACATTAAGTTTTAGAAAGATAAAAATGTGTATTATGTGACACTTTTTAAATATATTTTTTATCGTACGCACACGTGTGCACGTGTTAAGTCAATCATATTAGATATATGTAGCTCATCAACCAATGGTGTCTATTAGATGCCCCGATTTATATAATATATAATATTTAACATGTAGATGTTTAATTTAGTATTAAGATAATATAATTTTTTGCATCATAGAACATAATTTCATAATAGGTACTTTCTATAATTTACATTTTCATGAGAGTATTTAAATGTAGAGTCTTTTCAATTGCAATGTTTTTTCTCAAAAATTCAGAGATATGCAAATGCACTCCTTGGCAATCCTCGCGATATCTTCGCTTCTTCGTGTAAAATCACATAAACTTGTGTAAAAAGCACCTTGAATGGGTGCCAAATAAATTGTGCGTAACTTCCGCTAATCGCTCGAAAATCGCTCATAATTAATTCTGAGCAAGAGGAAAAATAGAAGAAATATTCTTTAGTCGATTTGGTGAGTTACATCGCGATCCAACTATGCTTGCGATGACACACTTTCTCGCGGTAACTAAGAAATATTTAGTTATTTTCCATTCCTAATCTATAGTAATTAAGATTCGCTTCCTGTTTTTATTCTAAATTTGTAAGTCATTTATACGTATCATGTAAAACTTTTCAATCATATTATCACACACTGTTAAATCCGTAATATTAAATTTGACTCAATGATGAGTCGCCACTGCTCCTTCTTGATATGTCGTTATTATTTTTAACTTGGCAAATTTACAAATTTACATTATAAACTTAATACTGCAACCCAGATAGAATACAAAACTCATAATCATCGTACATCGATCGATAAATCATTTCTCATGGGGTAATGTCACATAAAACACTATTATTTATCTGTGATAAACCGCCTGTGTTATCAATAATCAAAAGATATCAATAAGAGAGAGAGATTAAGTAAGTAAATAGATAAATTACATTTCCTAGAACAGAGGCTATATAAATTTAAACTGATTATTATTGTTAAGTTTCAGAGTATAATATTATACAATAATTTCTTATTAAACGAACACTGTATTTTATACTTTACAATTCATATGATAAAAAAACAGGCTACGTATTCTATGTATAATTATCTCGCTACTTATGCAAAGATAAATATGACAAAATATGCAAAGTAACTGATAAAGCTTCGTTAATTGAACACATTTTTCGTTACTCTTTGCACAGAAATACTCATTGTCTGCATAATCTCAAATCAGCCGATACGATGTTGCTAATCCGAATATATTTTATTTCTCTTTTACGAGAGAACAAAGCTATTCTTTTTTAAAAAATAAACTTTGTCTACAATACTACGCCGCACAACAAATACGACACTATATTTGCAACTGTTAAGCAATCTGGTTTCTACAATATGTGGTGCATTTTTGTTTGTTGAAGACATTCGAAAAAACTGATGTCAAATATTAAGTAATTTTATATTATTTATACGATCAGATTGGGAAGTTTCGAAAGAAACGAGAAAAGAAGAAAAGGGGAGAGAGCGAGGAGAATTAATGCTGAGACGTAATAGCAAAGGTTGAAGCTAGGGTGGAGATTGACTAAACGAGAAAACTAAAGGTGGAATTCATGAAAAGAACGCGAATGCAATGTAATGCGACAAGTAAATGACACGCAATTCAACACTTGTACATTTGTACGAATGCCGTCCGGACGGAAATCAATTTATTTATTTGTCTTGCTTTGCAGGATTTGTATTTTTAAGCGGATTTGATATCCGAATTTGCGTGCATTGTCAAAGGTAGTGTATTCATCCAGGTTCCTCTCTTAGATAGATCTTAGAAAGGTATCGAATGATTGTATGTTGAAAAGAGACAGAGAAATTCGACGTGGCAATGCACCGCATGCTTCTTAGATAACGTACCAGGAAATATTTCAGTATTTGATATTTTAAATCTGATCGAATGAGTTAGAGAAAATTTAGAAAAATTTCCTGAGTAAGAAGAAAATACTTGCATGTAAGATAAATATTTTCTTCGGAAGAAAATCTTTTACAAATAAAAACCTGTTAGATAAAGTGCTTTAATTTATTTAAGATATTCTTCATCTTTTACATATGGAGATATAAGAGAATGTACACTTATACAGAGAAAGGTAAATACGTAGAAAAATAAAATTTAAAATATGACAACGACTTTTATGTAATCGTTACATTATGTGAACTGATGGAGGGGGTAGATATATACTCGGTCGAACTATCTTCCAAAGTAGTTGCTTACTTGCCGTATTGGCTTCAGTGGGAGCTAGAAGCCAATAATTCAACAAGAGTAGTTGGTTACTGGACTAGCTAACACGCGGCCAATGCGTACAATGCTTATACACAGTGCGTGCAACATATTTGTATAAAAGACCACGTTTCTGACTTTTTGCAATGATTCTACCGCTTTACGGACGAGTGCCCTATACTCTGAGTCAGTGCCTCAGAGAATGTATTGTGAGTGCATCGCGAAAAAATTCTTTAGGAAAATTTGTTAAACATCGATACTACGCAACCGCTAGCAAGTTAAAAATTAATTCGCAGAATGTAGTGAGTAGCGGATTCCCCGACATAAGTGGTTTCGAAAATATTTACTTGCACGACTTCATTTGGGATAAAGTCGAAAAATGGTCAAATCACACTGCTCTGGTATGTAATGCAAATAAATATTTATAATACGTATAAAAGAATAAAGAATGTATGTATTTGCATTTCAAAACATTATGGATGTGTGTAAGTTTTTTCCTTCCAATATTGATGGATGAAAAAAGTATGACAATTAGGTATTTTAATATTATGGCAATATCATTTATTTTAAACTAGAAACGAGAAGCTCATTAGGTCCAAGCAAGATGTAGATAGCCGAATAATTTTAATATGTGAATTTATTTTATTTCATTTATTTTAATTTCAACAGTCGTTTGTTTTTCAAGTAATAAATGTTTAAATTTATCATTATAGACTATTGACCCGAGATAATAATAAAATAATTGAGAAAATACGCTTGTGCCATACCAGATAACTTAATTATTGCTTGTTCTATATCGAATAATTTTTTTTATTTATATAGACGTCCTTATTCGTCGCAAAAGTAATGTTGCGCGTTCAGTTAGTAATTAAATTATACTTAATTAAACTCAAAGCTTGTTCGATTTCGTTCACCTTTTCATCGTGCGTGTTTGTAAACATTATATAAATGGTTGAGTAAAACTTTTTATTTAACTTTTTTATTTCAGGTATGCGCAAATACTGGTAGATCATATACGTATGGTCAGTTGAGAAAAGCATGTGGCAAATTAGCAACGAGTTTAAGAAAAATGAAGCTTATGCCGGGAGATACTATCGCTATTATTTTACCAAATATCCCAGAATACGCCATTATCACACTAGCGGCAAATGAAGCCGGTTTACAGGTAAGACAAATTGATTACATTTAGAAGCATTACATGTGTACTATGCAGTGTCTTATAAATCGGAAACCACCATCTTTACATCATTAAAATGGGACCAGTATCTATGTATATTGAACCTGGCACCCTACTTTGAAAAAATTAACTTCTCGATACGGAAAAGGTTAGAATTTTGTTTTTAGTTCAATAGAGAATAAATTACAGAAATTGAAAACATATTATTCGGTACTATTCTTCAAAATGCGACTTTATCCGTATTTGCCGAAAAAAGAACTGCAGTATAGTTTAGGAGACAATGGAACAATTGAAACAATTTCATTTAATTGCTATAGTTGTACAAAAAGATAAAAATAATAAAAATAGACTACATTAAAAACTGACGTCAATAAAAATGCATAATATAATAAGACATTTGTTTTTAGAACTATTAAAATATTCGCAGCAAGCTTGTAATTGTCATGTGAATTTTGTTCTTTTTAAGACAACTCTGATTAATCCTACGCACACAGTGTACGAAATAAAGAGACAATTGGAGAACATGGAATCTCAAGCAATATTTACATTTCCGGGCAAATATGCTGATACCAAAGCAAGTATCGAGAAAAATTCCAAGATAAAGCTACCAATTATTATCGTAAACGATGGGACTGGCGCTGACTCAATCTCAGGGACAATCAAATTAAATGATCTTATGTGCGACGACATCCAAGATTTTTCAGTTAGTCAAAAAACTGGAATAAGTTACGAAGATACGGTATTCTTGCTTTATTCCAGTGGCACAACTGGCATGCCGAAAGGCGTTGAGTTGTCTCATAGGTGCGCAAATTGATTGCAAATTAAGTATTTACATTCAACTGAAAATGCGACAAATTCCACGCGAGAACGTTATAGTGTTGGAGATAAATAATTAGAATATGCGATTTTGCAGGAATATCGTTGCAAATATTCTTCAATACGCCAATCCGACCTTATTCCCTGGAATAGAAGCGAACGAGCACCATCAGGATATTATACCGCTAATATTACCAGCATATCACTGTTTTGGGTTACTAGTTACTTTGTATCCTTATCTGCGGTATGTGAACCTATTAACTAGTTTGCGTAAATATGACAATGCCCGAATATGATCCGCAAATATTGAAAATTGTTGTCATTTTTCTCTTAAACATATCTTTTTCGACATACATATGATACTTAAAATTATAATTTCATCAGTGTAAACATGACATGTGTATCCTACAATTGTAGAATAGGTGCTAAGGTGGTGTGTCTACCGCAATTCTCCGTGAAAGAATTTACAAAACTGCTTGAAAATCATCGGTGCACAATCCTGCATGCCGTACCACCGATCGTACAGATGATGACGAGCAACGAACGTATAACGTCCCGTCACGTTGAATCTATAAGAACAATAATGTGTGGAGCTGCACCGCTCGGGGAAAAATCTATCGCCAAATTCCACAGTCGTTTTACTAATCCCATGATTTTTAACCAAGGGTAAGAAATAATGATGACAAATACAAAAATTTGTGTACAAATAATAAAAAAATGTACAATTGGTTTTACAGATATGGGGCGACGGAGCTGTGCCCAATCGCTACAATCGGTATGGATGTACCATCGACATCGTGCGGTTATCCGGTTGCAAATACACAGATGAGGATTGTAAGCAGGCAAGATGATACTCTCGGCAGAAACTTGGGTCTGCGCGAGGTGGGAGAAATATATATACGGGGTCCGCAGGTAATGAAAGGGTATTATAAAAATCCCGAGGCCACAGCAAATTCGATGGATGGAGACTGGTACAAGACCGGCGATGTGGGCTATTTTACTGAAGATGGTAAGCAAAGTGTGATAAAGTTTAATCGGAAACTTGGGAAAAAGAGGAATATGACAATTATACTGGCACGAGATATTAGCAATTATCATCTTATAAAATGCAGGCCTATTATACGTGCAAGGACGATTCAAGGAAATAATCAAAGTAAAAGGATACCAAGTCGCGCCCACCGAAATTGAAGAAGTGATTCGTAATTACCATCATGTACAAGACGTCGCCGTCATTGGTGTGGCGCACGAAAATTATGGCGAAATACCAAAAGCTTTTGTAGTTCCCAAGGTGGGGGTAAGAATTGACGAGAACGAACTCAAAAACTTTGTCGCTCAACGCGTAGCCAAGTACAAACAATTAGGATATATACAAGTTATAGAAAGTATTCCGAAAACTCCATCTGGAAAAATTCTTCGAAGGGAACTCGAAAAACTGTAACTCGTTTTTCGAACGTCAACTTTTGCGTGGGCGAATTGATTCAAGGAATTTCAAGGATTAGTGCATTAAGATTATGCTTAACATTAACCAAACTGTTTATTGTTACAAAAATTAAGGGACTAGCCTTCTATTGACAAGACATAGCTATTTATTTACAGGAGTAGAGTCTTCTTTCAAAAGAGCACTAGTGATTCCCACTTTCTTCAATTCCTCAACAAGCTCGCCGTTCTTGTGCATTTCTAAGAGTATGTCGCAGCCACCCACAAAATCACCGTTTATAAATACTTGAGGTATTGTGGGCCAATTAGAAAAGTCTTTTATACCTATGTAATTAATATTAGTATTTAAAAACTGTGGCGATAATAATTATAATGGGCACAATATTTACCAAAGTATACACCAAGGATTTAGAAATTACGTATACCTATTCAACGTTTACAAATGTTTGTAAAACGACATATACCGTTTCAAATATGTGCGTAAATAAAAATATTCTCTTTTCGAATTAAAATTTAATTATTTAACAAACATTTGCAATCATTTACCTTGCCTAAGCTCTTCATCTTTAAGAACATCGTGAGCATCATAAGTAACACCGTGCATTCGTAATATCTGAACTACCGCATTGCTGAATCCACATCTTGGCTCTTCTGGAATGCCTTTCATAAAGACGACTACCTTACTTTTCTAAAAGAAACAATTCGTGTACGGCATTAGATATCGCACATAACGTTATTACACTCGTTGACAAAAGTAGAAAACCTCTGGCAACGAGTTGTTTTCGTCTTTTTCTATACCACATAAAATTGCAGATATAACGAAAAAGGAAACACATTAACGTAAGTAAAAACAAGCAACTACTTACTTTAACAAGATTGCCGATTTCGTTCACTTTCGTACTAAAATTTCTGCCGCTAAAGAAGCACTTGGCTCCGATACGAAACATGTCTCGATGTATCGCACTAAACAACACTTTTGCAATCAACTTGGACCTTTCGTTCAACAACGAAATGAGAACGACACATGTACGCAGAAAGATTATAACCTCAAGCGGTCAGCTGTTTCTCCACCGATATTTTTTTTCTCGAGATGCGAGAGAGGCGAGAGGTAAAGGAATGAATGAGTGGCGCCATCGTGTGACAGGATGCCCAAGTTTATGGCCGAAATATTTCCTTACCGTTTATAGATAAATATCATCAAGGAAATATTTTTCCAACAAACGTATCAAAATTTGGATCAAATGTGAAAGGGAGACTTGAGAAAAATAGGTACATGTTCACGAAAAATACAAGCGCTGCTAGAAATCTAGACTTTTACAGTGGATAAATAACTTGTCTTTCCGGCTACACACTGAAAAAAATTTCTGGTTGAATATGGACGAATCAGATAATTCCTTTAGGATTTACCAGAATTCCTTTAGGATTTACCAGAATTCCTGTAATCCTACAGAAATTCTGGTAAATCCTAAAGGAATTCTGGTAAATCCTAAAGGAATTATCTGATTCGTCCATATTCAACCAGAAATTTTTTTCAGTGCAGAGAACGCGATAATACGTGGGCATCAACTTTTCATTTCTACAACTGCAGCAGTTATTTAAAATATGTTAAATGTAGAGCTTCTTGGTATACTTTATTAGTATTATATTATCACACGTATTATAATATAATAATAAATTGCATTATTGCATTGCAGTTGCAATTTTATTTATCTTCTTAATTATCGATGTCCCCCTGTCCCTGCCTACCCGAATCCCTACGTGTGCCCGTATTCCGACGTATAGTTCTATCCATTTTTATACATTTCAACTTAATAGTCCTCAAAGTCTTTTATTAAAACCGCGACGCGATTTATAAAAGGTTATAACACGCGTGCGTGTGGAATTTATTAGAGGGCTTTTCAATCTCGCGCACATATGCGAAGATATGACCCACCCGAAATTTGACGAATGAAAGAAATCTAATTATTTTATGTACATCGGAGTGTGGCCAGATTAGACATACCTTTCGTTGCTCCTAGTCATTTTGACCAGAGATCAGGAAGAAAACTCCAGAAGGCTTCCTCCCGCACTCAAGTGTCCTCGTCTCCGACACACTCGCCAATTTACACTCACTTTTGTGAACATCTGAATGTCTTCGATTGTCACCTCGAGTCCGATTGTCACTTTGTCCGAGTCCGATTACCGAGAAATAGTGGCATTAATAAATCACTGATAACTGTTAATTTAATATTTCGTCTATTATTTCGCGCTTTCAACTTGGAAACAGCGATGACATCGAGCACTGAATATTCGCAGAGAGTTATCGCCATTGCTTCCCGCACTTGTCGCGAACACAACCGACTCGCTCGACTTTCGCCGCGTGAATGATGTTGCGTACGTAAACACCTCGGCCGAAAACCGAGCGCGGATTCCAAGAAATGACGTAGCACCGTAACGTAAACACTTGGGTCGAAAACAGTCTATTGTGTCGAATCAGTCGGCGCGAATCGGTCGAGCGAGGCGGAATGTTTCGCGTGTTTTTTCGCCTCGCTCCTCGTGACGCGATCATTTCTTACCACAATCGCGCGCGATCGTCTCGTACGAGAGTTGGAAACATTTCTCAACCGCGATTAAGTGATTTGTAATCTTATTGTCGATTGTTGCGCTCATTTGTCGAGACGAATATCACGCGTTAATTGAGCACAGAAGAGTCAACGTTGATCCTCGCGTAGTTGGCGCCGAGAACGGAAGAGACACGAGGGTGCAAACTCATAGAGCGGAATGGTGTGCGCAGAAAATGCCTCTTTTCGTCATTGGTCCAGGCTCTCGTTCCGCTCAGTCATTTCCGATTGGTCAATCCGTCAGACAATTGACCAATCATAGTCGACTATTCTTACGACTACGTTACGCCTTCTATGTAGACGCTTGATGCACTAACGTTCGAACCGGCGACACGAATGTCACGGGACGATGTGCGCGATCGTTCCCCGCGTAATTAAACGATGCCACAGCCGTGTGATCGAGCTTGTGCCGGTGAGTACGCCGCGCGCAGTGACCGCCAGGAACCGAGAAGCCCGTGGACACGCAACGGATCGGTCTCGCGGTACGCACAATCGCGCGACGTAGATTCGACTTGACGCGTTAAATCGACGAAATCCCGGCCGAAATGTCTCGCGCGTCCCGAGTACACCGAGCTCAGTTCAGTTTTCATTCCCATCTCCTCGCGCGTGCAGTGATACCCGAGTTTTCCACGCGTGATGCGCGGCGAGAGGAACGTTCGCGCGAAATCGCATTCGGTTCCCTTTTTCGCGACGCGCGTCAAGTTAGCTTCGCGTACGTCCGCGAGTCCTTCGACGAAATGACTCGTCCATCGACGTTGATCGTATCATTTCGCACGACGAAAATTGCGCGTCTCTCGCTCTCTCGTTCTCGTTTCAGTAAAGTCCGCGTCGATTAACACCGGGAGTGCCGTGTCGTGCCGATTGTAAGTAGCTCCTCTTTCGCGAGTGCAGTGTTGTGCCAGTGTGAAATGGAGGAATCTGAGAGGAGGTGGCGGCCCGGGAGGCATCGGGCGACAGCGGACCAACTTTTTCGTGAGTGCAATTATTTATGCATTATTCCCGCGTCAACTTCATTTTCGCGCATCATTTTATACTTTGTGTACAATTAATCCGTTTGCCAACTTATTATCGAGTAGTTTTATTTCACTGTAATTTTTAAATAATAATCAGATAACAAGAAAAAGTTGAATTTTATAAAAGCTTATTGTCTCGTCAAGATGTTTTGCAGAAAATCTTTGGCGATGTAATTTTTTTCATACCTTTTTCTTCTCTTGAATAAAAAGTCCGACACGTTTAAAGATTATATTTTGTAATATAGGTTTTGTTGAATACTGTTTTAAGATGAATTTCATATTTTATGTTGCAGAACAACGAAGCTACGTGGCAGATATACAACTCCGTTGCTGCGCATCAGATGGTGAGTGAGAAACTTTTTGATTCAGGCAACGAATCTACATCTTGTAGTTGGAAGAGTGTAGATCGTAGATCATTAGTATATCTTGTAGATCCGTTGCCTTAAAATAATAACGGCAATTTACTCTTGTATTAAATATGTATACGCATCTTCGTATTTCCTATAACGTCGACGGTTTGGAACAAGTTGTAGCATCGTGGGTGCAGGACTTTACAGAATAACTTTGATCTCGTAGACCGGTATTAAGATTTGATTTCTTTCATTCGTCAAATTTCGGGTGGGTTATTCTTCTTTATATATCCTTGCACATGTGTGCGAGATTGAAAAGACCCCTATTAAATCCCAATCGCACGCGTATTATAATCCCAACTCAAGCCTTTTGTAAATCGCGTCAGGATTTTAATAAAAGACTTTTAGGTCTATTAAGTTGAAACACGGATAGGTAGGGAAATGGATAGGACTGTACATCGGAATATGGGCAGGTAGGGATTCGGGTAGGCAGGAACAAGGAGATATAAGTCGCTGTTCCTCTCGTCAAGTGGGTGCATAGTGAATGCATGGTTTATACCGATGGAAAAACCGGGCCGTGGCAACTCTCTGACTTGTGTCTGTCAGGCTGAAATCACATGGTGCAGAATAGAGCTGCGGAATAGAACGTGCGTCATAGAAGCAACCAATCAGAGCCAGACATTTCCGTCACTCGTTGATACGGCAAAGCTCTGATTGCCTGTTTCTATAACGCACTCTCTATTCCGTACTCCTATTCTGCATCATGTGATTTCAGCTTTAGACTTTTTCTTTGAGTGATACGCGGGAGCATTCGGGTAACGTTTCGGAACGCAGCCCTAAAGATGTGGAACTCAATGGGGCAAGCCAACCGACCAATCGCGGTCGAGCATTTAGTAGCGCTACGCGCTTTCGAGAAATTCAAACGACGCCGGTGCCAACTTGAGTAGGATTCCGCGAGTCAACTGTTATCGAGTACGCGTACGTCCGCAGGTCGCATCGAGTAAGTTTGGCGAACGAGTCTTCGTCCTTATTGAAGTAGAATAGTAAACCGAGAGCGTCAACAATGTTAATGCCGTCGTTTCGTACACGATCTAAGCAATCACGCGTCGCGTCTCGCGTCGGGAGTGCTGTATAAATTAATGGCTAATGGTGGTTGTGGCGTCGCGTCGTGTTAACGAGTGCGCGGGTCGCGATCGGGAGTGAGACACGATCGACTTACGAGTGAAACTGAAACTCGCGCACGTCGGAAATAATGGCGCGCCTAGCGATCAGAAAACTTTACTCGACTGACATGAGCTCTTGCCACTGTAAGCACCGTTGGCCTAACCTAACCTTGTCTCCTCGCTCTGAATGCATCGCGCGCGTACAATAAATCGGCAGGCGTTCGGGCGCGAGATGACAATCGGCACAAGTTATTCGATCGAGTCCATCACTGGAGGTGAATCCGAAATAATGATCCGAAGCAGCTTGCGGAGACCTAATGACGATTCGTCGACCGGTGAGTCCGCGTTGTCAATCATTTACTTATTTCGTGTATGGGACTAGCAATATTAATGGTGCAGTTTGGCACGCATTCTACCCTTCATTCGAGTTTTGAGACATGTGCATGAAAAGATATGGTAACACGAGTGAAAAGCGATTTGAAAAGAAAAGGCGCGATCGATGGTAAAGTGGCTCTCGGTATCATTTCGCTCGAGTACTTGAGATGCTCGTCAGGTGTCGCCGGTATGCAGTCCATTTTCTCCATGTTTCTGATCCCCGTGACGCCTGGTCACCGCCGGTCACGCCGTCACGCAACCGTATTTTGCGGATACAATCGCACTTTTCGAGAATTGCCGGCTCGCGATATCGCGGCGATGCGTCCGGACATCTCGCAATAATCCCAAGATTGGCCCGGTATTCCTCGTGCAGAAAAGTCGTCCGCTCGGACAAGATAGCGCCCGCGAGGCTAAACCCTGTCGCGCTCATTCCGATATCGAATTTGACCTCCATCGTTGACCTAGCTACGTTCATGAAAGCGTCGTGCCGTCGTTACGTTGTTACGAAGATATCGCGTATGAATCGAATCACGTTGTGCGACACAATTTTGTCAACTTTAAAGCCT